TGATTTCTACTATTCCTAATATTTATTGTTGTTATACTCTGGTATTCTGTTTCCATGTAGTCATTTATTTTCTTTCTATGACTATTGTATCTCTAGTTTTCTTCTTTTTCAGTAAGATCATCTGAAATATCTGATTCATATAAGTTGTTTTAATCAATAGACATTCTATATTTATACTGATAGTGGTTTTTCATACTTCACACTAGTCTTTGATTCTCAATTATGATTTGTTGTTGAAGTGTCTTTTTTAAATCTTTTTCATTTTTGAAGTATATTATTATATAATTTTCTGATGTTAGAGTGATCTTATTTCTTGGTATATAAGAGACTTTCCCTTTTGTCTGACTGAGTAATTCAGATATCAGTTCTATAGATCTTCCCTTAATCCCATATAGTCTTAAGAAATAATGTTTTCTTTTTTTAAGTATTTGAGTTACTTCTTAATTATCCAATTTTTTTTGGATTATTATCAATTTTACTTGATTGACCTTAATTTTGAGTATTCAATATCGTTCCAATTTGGTATGCTCATGATATGTGAAAAGATGGATTCTAAATATTTTTTGATGAAAAGTCATATAATATTCATGAATGTTGACTACTACATTTTCTTTTATTGCCTTTCTGATTGATTGTTTATTACATTTGTGTTCTATATCCACCAATGTAATATACTTTGATCTGTTTTTTATCAAAAGAAAGTTTTCTGGCTTGAAGAATCTTTTATTTAAAACATATTTTTGAAAGGCTAGATATGTACTTCTATCTTGATCCATTCTCCTGATAAAGAAGTTTTTCTCTTCTTTTTTATTAATTGATTCTAAACATTATACTGAATTATCCTTTTCATCAATATCAAAAGTGATCCAGTGGTTACCATTAATAAACTTGATCTTGAAGGGGTTCTGTCTTTTTGAAATACTTAGGATTCCCTTGAGATATTTAATTCCTTCTTTTTGGTTGTCTCCTAGTAATATAGCTTGAAACATTCCCAATTTGATTGTACCTGTTTATTTGATGAAATAGTAATTGACTATAAAATCTTATATTCTATTACATGTATTATAAAAGATATTTCCTGTTATATAGATTTTTTGAACTGTTTCCTTAATTGTTTCTGCTTCTGCTAGCTTTATTATACTCCTGTCTTCCATTTCAACTTTTTTAATTGACTGAATCTCCTCAATTTTCATAGAAAATGATTAAATATCCATTGGAATATTATTTGTTTTCCTGAATTCCTTTATATTATGACTTGAGATATAATTTCCTGTTTTGTTTATTAACATGTTACACATCTTTTCTTCAAGTATAGAAGCTTCAAGATCTTATTTCTTGCCTTGTCCCTTTTTCCACAGAGTAATAATATACATTCTTAACATCTGTTCTTTTGCCAAGATTTCAGGATCTATGTTTAATAGAGTGACTAAGATGTTGTCTAATATTGAGATTGCGTGAATTACTTCTACTGGAATATGTGGTTGGTCTCCTGTTTTGTGCCTTAGCTTGTGTTGAAGTATTTTTGTTTCCTATAGTTTTTGTTGAGAATCATAGCTGGTGATGATATTCCCTAATACTCTAAAAATTTCTTTCTCATGTTTTTTCAAAATTTTAATAATGTTTTATTCTTTTTGAATTATGTTGTCATGTGAGGTATATAAACTATTATATGTATCAGATTGTTTTAATGTTTTGTTATTTTTCTTTATAATAATCTATAAATAGGATACTATATTGGATTATGTAATCAGATGATTCATGCCAATATATTGTTTCTCTATATGTTTTTGTCTTATATGCTAATCCTATTTAACTATATATATATTACTTGTTTATTGCTTATAATACAATTAGATTGATATGTATTACTTTTTTATAGTATATTAATATATCTTAGGTTATTATTTTGTCCCAGTTAAATTATATTCACTTTTACGTATTCATATTTATGTGATATAAGTTAATAGATCAGTTGTTGTAATTGTTTACTACTAATTTTTATTGTTTGACCCAAGAGATCTGAATATTTTTTTAGGTTTTTTGAGCTTTGACTTTGAATTGATTTATCAATTTGAATTATTGTTTCTGAAATCTTTCTTAGTGTCTAGAAAAGTATTAATTTGCACTGGCCTGGCTAAGAACTTTGTGAAGTTAATGTTGGGTCTCAAAAAGTCTACTATAAATCAGTTTGTTTTTGCTTTTTCTTTTTCCTTAAGCAAAACAAGGATATAAAAATATTGTTGCTGATTAGTGTTGCTCTTTTCTTGTTATCAAAAGTCAAGTGTATATTATATAGAAAAAAGTTATTGCTGTTGTTATTTCTCCTTGAAATGGTTTTTTGTGAAAAGGTTTTTTTTTTAAAAAATTATTATAAAAGAAAATTTTTAAAATTTTAAGAATCAGTAGAAAGAGTTTTTTTTAAATTGCGCTATTTAATATTATACAGTACATTATTAATAATTACAATGTAATAACAATGTATGTATATATGGATAATTATTTTTGAAGGTGGACAGTGATTTTTCTGACTTTATAAATTGTATTTCTAGAATTTATATTATATCTGTATTATTATAAAAATAGGATAAAAAAATATTTATAATATTTTTGACATTTTTAAAAATAATTCTCTATATTTATATTCAATAATAGATATTTGTTATATTTGCTTCGTTATTTCATTTGCTTCATTATTTTATTTATTTCCTTCATTTCACTTGTTTTTTTTTTAAAAAATTAAAAAATGAATAATCAAAACGATTCTTTAAGTCTTACAAATAACTCAGTAATTGATCTTTTTTTTAATAATATTAATAAAACCTTTTCCTTTATATCTGAAACTTCAGCTTTATCAGCTGGATTATTTAATAATCAAAAAAGAATTTATGAAAATAATAGAAGTTATATATGAAAATATTATGAAAAAAAAGAAGTTACAAAATATGATAAAACTGAATTATGAGCATATTGTAAATTAATATGTCAAATAATAAAAAATGTAAAAATAACTTATCTATAATGCATAGTACAACAACTAATTTAATTAAGCATCTCAAAAATATTCATTCTATTTTGGATACATAAATGATTTATTAATAATTGGTTTATAATTTATTTATATAATAAAGATACTAATATTAATAAATTTTATAGAAACGAATTAAAACATAATATGATAAAAATAAATAAGTTTATCTTTAACAACTAATATTGAAATGGATTCTTTATGCTACTCTTTTGTTATTTATTATACAAGATCTATATTTTCGACAATTTTTTAATAAATCAACTTCACAATTCAAGATTTCTTGTTCAGCAACTTTAAAAAGTTTAATTTTATATGAATATTAATCAAATATATATACAATAGAGTCATTAATGAATTCAAGTAAAACACAACTTGAGTTTTGTGCATTGATAACAGACATGTAAATTTCTAGAAACAAGAAAAAATATCTTGACATAACTTGTTCTTGGCTAACTCTAACATTTGAAATGAAAGAAGTAGTTTTAAATATTAAATATGTTTCTTTTCTTTATATTTCTGAAACAATATATAATGAACTTACAACAATTTCTTTTAAATGAAATTTAGACAATAAAATTATATCTATTATAACTAATAACAGTGCAAATATAATAGCAGAAATCAAGCATTTGGTACCAATTCAATGGTTAGGATATATGGTTCATATATAATATTATAATTAATAATTAACAAAGGATTAGTATCTATAGAAATATTTATAGTATGGATTAAATGATTGATTAGTTTTTTTTCTTCAATTAAACAAATGGAACATTTAATGGCTGTACAAAAATCATTGGAATTTTCTAAAATTTATCAAGTTATAGTTAATATAGAAACTAGATGGAATTCTATTTTTATGCTTGGAATTGGCTTTTGGACTTAAAAGATGCAATAATAATTTTACCAACATATATTTTGTGACTTAAGGAACAAGATATCAAAAAAGATTTTAATCAGCTCAATAAAATTATGCTTACTGAGGAAGAGTGACAATTTATGGAAGAATTAATTAAATTATTAGGTCCTTTTGAAGAAGCAATGTGATTTTTAAGTGGTAGTACATATCCTACATTAGGATTTATGTATCTCATAATTTAACGCATTAATTGAACAATTCAAGTCAATATCTAAAGAATCTGATAATGATTTAGAAGATTATAATAATCATGAAGATACTGTATATTAGATAATGATGATTTATATCCTGTTGAAGAAGAAACGAATATTGAAATCGAATATATTGAAAGCAAATCAAAAAAAGGATCAAAAATTAGACATTTCAAAACCGCAAAATATGAAAGGAATGATTAATATTATTAAGAAAAAATTATATAATGCTCTTAAACATTATTGGAATATTTCTTCGAAATTAGGAACTATGGCTAGATTGTTAGATCCACGTTTTAAATCACAGAGACTTGACATTAGAAGATCGACAAAATGCGCATAATATTTTACATAATGAGTTACTTTAGTTAATTCAAAATTCAAATATTAATTCCTTATCTAATTCAAATTATTCTTCTAATGATATATTTCAACAAACTTATTATAGAAATTTTACACGAAAAAGTACTACATTATTTCATTCACTATTTAGTTCGTTGGGGTGGTTTATGCGATGATGCGAAACCGGCAACTGTAAAATCATTGATCGCCTAGTGAAACTGTAGTATCTATATACTGTATTTCAAAACGCGTGAAAAATACCGTAACATCTTCCCTTATTTTATTTTTCTTTGGAACGCGACCTTAACGATATTTCTCTTGTTGATCCATCAAATTCATCCATAGTAACTACTACTAGAAACAATGAGCGAACCGTTTCCAGGCTTTAAATGTATAAAAATCAAATTTAAATTTTTATTTTTATTGCAAAGCTCTGACCGTTGCCGTTGACTTTTTTCAGCTTTAGTCCCATATTTCGATAGGGACAGTACCGAATGGTCATATCCCAATTTTCTATGAGATGCGAAACGTTATCTTGGATATCGAGCCATTTAATGAAGATTGGGTGGACTCGACGGAACGTGGTATAAACGATATACGAAACTGGCAAATAATGATGAGGTATAATTTTTTTTACAGGACGCTTCTGGTTATTATTATATGCCATATAGAACGGTTTAGAGCTGTTATTATATGTCGTATAGAATGGTTCAGAAGTACGTTTGGGCGCTTCTGGTTGTTATTATGTCATATAGAACGATTCAGAAGTTTTGCTGAAAATTTTCGGTGCCCAAATAATGATGGTGGGGACGCTTCTGGTTGTTATTATGTCACATAGAACGATTCAGAGGTTTTGCTGAAAATTTTCGGTGTCCACTCCATCAACCTTGTATTTGTGAATTTATTGATATTATCTATGTTTTATTTTTTTTTTATAGATACATCCGCATCCGTCTATGAAAACATTTTTCAAAGATGTCATATTTGAACGTAAAAAGGTTGGAGTTGGTCCTTCTTAAAGAATTCTACTATCAATGGAAATGCTTCCTCCTCAACTGGTGACGAAAATGCGATCGCTGATGATGGGCAAACAGCCGATGAATCCGAAGAAATTAATACCGAAAAAGCAGGAAAGGTAAATAGTTCGAATTATTCCGATACGATCTCTACATCAGATCAGGTAAGTACTAATTAATTTTCATTGATCATCATGATAATGCTTTTGATAAATCATTTTTTGCAATACGGTCAGGCAAAAACGTTCGGCGAGTCTCACTCGACATCTACAATTCCTACGACTCCTCCTCCTTCATCTTCTAATTATAAACAGCCACGATTTATAACTAATAATGAATACATGGATATGGATTGGTCTCCCTGGCAGTTTGTTGAAATTATTTGCGAAATGGATATCGAAGAAAAACTAATGGGCTTATTTGAGAAAGAAAATAAAGCAAGGAAAAAATCGTCATTAAGTTATGGTATTATCGACCTGAATGATAGTAGAATCATGGATGTCTTGGGACTATCTGTAAAAGTTTATTTTGAAGAAAAAAATGAATAATATATAAACCACAAAGATCCGTGTCAAAAGAAACATTGGAAACTTTGAAGTGTTTAAATGTAGTAAGTAATTAACCGAAACAAAAAAAATAACTTGAAATAATTGCTTATAATTAATATATTTAGACATCATTGTGGGAGCTTGGAAAAGCTTTTTCAAGTATCACCATGAATTACGAAAATCCAAATAGAGATACAGTATATTTGCGTAATTTGTTTGACAAATTGTAAGTATTAATTAAATAAAGTATGTTTTTTGTAAAACATATTTAGTTATCTTGTATTCGGTTTTTTTCTTTTTCAGGATAAGGGTATATTAAATCTAGATAGTTCCGAACTACCAGAAGGATGGCACAACAGCAACATTGTTGCGCCATTCTTTGACGATCGCTTAGCTTCACTTAATGATTGTATTCTCCGACGGTATGTTCTAAATAAAAACCGCTGTGTTATCTTATATTGTATCTAGCTAATTTTGTTCTTGTATAATCTTGTATAATAGTGGTGAAATCGCAAGCAAAGCACAAAAATTACTCGGAAATAAATCATCAAAAAAGCCAAAATATGACGGAGTCTTGTCATTTAATAGAAAAATCGAATTTATTTACATGGAAACAACAACCACATCGATCTTATCAAAAAGAGATAAAGACTTGTCGAAATTACATGAAGCAATAGCTATTATGTTCAAGTTTATAGTATCTTCATTACCAGAGAAAATTGTATACGAAATATCAGATTTGCCCATCCTTTGCCATGTCTTAATTGATAACGCAAGATCTTTAATAAACTTAATTTGTCACTTTACAGGAACAACAGCTGATGTATACCTTGCTAACTGGCCAGTTAAGATGCGTCCAGTTGTTTGTTCAATAATGGACTTAACTAAGATATTTCAAATTAGTACAATTGCGGGCTATTTCCTCAACAGCTTTATTATTAATCGAGCAATCACCAAGCTCAAGATGTTTAAGTTTTGGGCATAAACGCGTTATTTCAGTGATAAAACGATTAGTAAGACATATACATGAATTAAGACTCAGATGCTGTAGTTTCGGAGAAAATCTCGCAATTTCTATAATCGGTATATTACTGAAACCCTTACTTTTATCAAGAATGAGAGTGCGTATATCTGGGCATGAGCGTAGAATAGTACTAATCAACGTATCTGAGATTTTTAACCCCTCTAATCTGAGATATACCATCTTGGAGCAATAGAGTGGTTTTATTTTTCTACGCATAACTCGTTCAAAGTTTATCAATCGTCGAGTAAGAACCCGAGACATATTTAAGGCACGTCGACTCTGCTGATAATCTTTGTTGATAAACTCAACGCGACGTCATAGAATAGGAGCACCGCAGTGATACCAAAAGTGAATTAACAAATAAAGCGGGATAGAGGAATCGATCAATTTCTAAAAAATATAAGATCTGTTCTAGTAATTCCGGTAAATCAAAAATATTTAAACCCTTTTGGTCATTGCTCCGCAATAGTTGCGCCATTTTCAAGTAATGTATTATTATATATCTTTAATCGAAAAAATAAGTAAATATTCAGATAATTAATTTAGGCGCAC